ACTATTGGATTGGATCGTTTCTAAATTGAACCTCAATATAAATCCAAATATTTTGGGTTCAAGGTAAGACCAAAAATGAGAGAAAAAAAAGTTTTGACCATAAGTTGGAATACCTAGGCTTTACCTGTCAAGAAAATAACCAATATAAATATTATTAATTATTTTCTAATCAATAAAAATAAATAAGGAATTCAATAATTTTAAACAATCAAGAAATTGTTTCAATAATCTAACCAGAGAGATAATAAATATATATTTTTATATTTTATTTTTTTTATATATCGTGTTATATGATTTTATAAACTCTAGATGCATCAATCTAGTTACAATAATCCATATCCCTAATGGAAAATCCAAATTATAGTAGCCCTCGAGGCAATGGCGATGGAGCTTGTACGATAAACAACAATGGAGAAAGGCCGTGTACTAACTTTCATTAGTTTCAAGTCTTTCCTGTAATCACTTTTATCCAACAATAAACAAGTCTTTCCTGTAATCATAATTTAGAAAACATGATTACGATAATATTTTTTTTTCACGTAAATTATTTTTTTGGAAATAAAGTTTCCATGTATCTGCTTGTTTAGTCCGTTGACTGGCTGGATAACGGTTCTAATTATTTAAAATCACTTTCTGGACATGTAGTCCTGCTGGAGGATAATAGGAGTTATTTTTTAAAGTATATTTTTTTATTAAAAATATATTAAAATGATAAATTTTTATTTTTTATATTATTTTTTAACATTAATATATCAAAATTATAAAAAAATACAAAATAATTAAAAAATAAAAAAATTTAAATTTTTTCAAAAATATTTTTAAAACATAAAAACAAACATGCAGTAGGTATATGTTTACTCTTACATAAAGTATGATTTAAAATATATTAAAATAATTTTTATTTAGATTATTTTTATTTTTAATATTAACACATCATAATTATTTAAATAAATTTTAAAAACTATTAATTTAATATTTTTTTAAAAATATTTAAAAATAAATCATAACACAAAAACAAACCATCAATTCCTGTATGACCTGTCATTGAGAATGATTGAGAATTCCACATGGTGGAGAAATCTGTACAGCAACAGTTTGGTATTTGCAGGGTATGACTTGTCATGTTAGACATTGCAAGCAAATTATTGTCAGCCATCAACGTCTTCGAGTGTTTAATGGTTGTTTTGTTCTGATTATTTATCTTTTTAAAATATTTTTTGTTTTAAAATATATTAAAATAATATTTTTTATTTTTAAAAATTTATTTTTTACATTAACAATATTCAAAAGCACTAAAAATAATTAATTTAAAATTAAAAAACTTCATGAAGAAAAGGTTGAAGGAGAGACGTAACATATTCCAATGCTTTCAATTTTAAGGATCCTATCGATTCTTTATTAGAAGCTGGTCCAGTTTGATTTGAACCATCTGACAAATGGACCCGGTAATTTTTGAGAGAGAAACTTCCAGGCAACTTTGCGTAAATGATTAGAAAATCAAAACAAAAGTGAAAGAGAGCCCAGATTTACACCACACAAGTTTGAGATACATCCTTTTCAGTGGATGAAAAGATGCGCAACTGATGACCGACTTGTGGTATTAGAGTGGAGACAATCCACATTGACTTCAGTATATTTATGAGAACATAATTTGCGGCAATACAACTTGATTGTTTTTCATGGCCAATCTCATTTCTTCCACTAAATTTACCAGTTTCATCTATGTTTTTCTTCTTTTTCTATGCCCTCTGTGTTCTCTGAAGAAAGGGTTATGCAGTTGAAGTAAATGAGCATATAAAAAAATATGTTCTTACCCTGGAAGTCAATTCTCTGTTGGCATTAGATTCCTGCGACCAATCTAGTAAGGGTTCATGATCGTGTGACAAATACATATGTATATTTTATGATGTTGAAATGAAATTAATTTTCTACCTAATGCACTAAGCAGCACTAACTATAGGTTATGTGTTTCAGTGATCGACAAGGCTTCATCTCTGCAAGTTCAGCACAAGTATGGTCCGTGCATGCAAGTACTGAATGATCGGTCACATGTACAATTCCTCCTCCAAGACCAACTTCGAGTGGACTCGATTCAAGCTAAACTCTCCAAGAACTCAGGCCATGGCATTTTTGAGGAGATGGTGACAAAACTACCAGCCCGGTCAGGTATCGCCATTGGCACAGGCAACTACGTGGTTACTGTCGGCCTTGGCACACCAAAAAAGGATTTTACCCTTGTATTCGACACCAGCATTCATCCCTTTGGACTCAATGTCGGCATAGTTATTAAACCTGACTCGAGAGTTGATCCAGTTAAAAAACTGGTCCGGGTTTTAAAGATCAATTTGAAAAAATTAAAAAAAAAATTAAAATTTTAATATTTTATATAAAAAAATCTATATGAATATAAATTATACATATTATAAACAATGAAATTTAAAAGAATATTAAAAAAAAAATTATCCCACATTGAAAAAGCATAACTTTTTTCTTGGAAACATATAATATTTATACTAATAAGTTTCATATCCCACATTGAAAAAACATGATTTTTTTCATGGAAACATAGAGTATATATACGAAAGCGTTTCAAATCCCACATTGAAAAGATACTATGTTATCCTTTTAAGTTAAAGTATTTAAACCAAAAGATTTTTTATCTCACTTTGAAAAAATATGATTTTTTTCTTGGGAACATATAGTATATATACGAAAGGGTTTCAAATCCCACATTGAAAAGATACTATGTTATCCTTTTAAGTTAAAGTATTTAAACCAAAAGATTTTTTATCTCACTTTGAAAAAATATGATTTTTTTCTTGGGAACATATAGTATATATACGAAAGGGTTTCAAATCCCACATTGAAAATATACTATGTTATCATTTTAAGTTGAAGTATTTAAATGAAATAGTTTTTTATCTCACATTGAAAAAATATTACTTTTTTTTTTGGGAATATAGAGTATATATACTAATGGGTTTTAAATATCATATTTTTTTTTAAAAAAGAAACCGAGTCTCGTTCGGGTTTGCCCGGGTCGCCTGGGTCATGGGTTGACCCGCCAGGTCACCTGGGTTTGACTGAGCCTAATTTCAGAACACCCTAGAGCCAATGTGATGGCTGAATATAAATGGATAAGGGT